AAGAAGCAGTCCCTCACTATCCTCAATAACATAAGTGGAATCGTGAGGCCCGGGAGGTATGCTACTCTCCTTCTCTGTGACTAAATTTTTTGATATTTTTCTTCTTTTTCTCATTTTCCATGATATTTCTCTTCTCCACAATCATGACTAATAAATTTTTCTCTATGGGGTATGGGGTGAGGCCTTCTCTGTGACTAAATTTTTTGATATTTTTCTTCTTTTTCTCATTTTCCATGATATTTCTTTTCTCCACAATCATGATTAATAATTTTTTCTCCATGGGGTGAGGCAAAAACATTCAGCAGTTTTTCTCTCGAACCTTTTACATTGAGCAAAGTTGAATTTGGGAGCAAAGAAATCTCGACTCTAATAGCTGTTCCTTTTCCTTTTTTTCTTCCAATACGACTTTTTCGATATTTCAAAGATAGAGAAGGGTGTTTTTACTCCTAATGGGTTCTGATGATATTAATTTAAAGTCTCTTAAACAAAGAATGGAACTAGGGAAAGGAAGTAAGAAATAAGAAGGGCAAAAACTTGAGAAAATGGTTTTACAGAGTCTATAGACTAAGAGACCTCAATAGGCGAGCTAGGAGACCTAAATCGGCGGAGGTAGGTCAATAGAATAGGAATAAGTTTATATAAGGTTGAAAAAAAAAAAAAAAAAAAAGAGAAAAGAGGAAAGAGGTTGCCCCTTAATATCTATCGGAAAATGTTGTTTTAATGTTGAAAAACCTTTTGATTGATCATCTCGACATCGGGATGTACGAATATGAAAAAATGTAGGAATATGAAAAAATGTAGGAATATGAAAAAAAAACGATTTCAAGTCCCATAAATAGTGCACTTGCAACCCATTATCTAAATTGTCAATTTTCAAGATTTTCATATGTTTACATATCTACTTGGTTTGAGCTGGAGTTTAAAATTTTATAATTAGAGTTGAAAATAGATTTTCAGACAATTCTAATAATTTTTAACACCAAAGTTACATCTTATGATTAAATCGGATACCAAAAATACATCTATGATTAAATATGGAGGTGCTACCCTTATGATTAAATATGGAGGACCTCCTTAATTAGTTTGTTTAAGGTTGCAGCCTTATGCAAACCACACCCTTTTCTAAAAAGAAGTCCTTTTAATAACAAAAGGCATACATGCCCTGGTCTTAATTTTACGGGATGCGCGTATTTGCTTGAAAAGGTGATTTAAATAGAAAACATGAGCCCCCATTTCCCTTGATTTATAATTTGTTGTCATGTGTCATGCGTAGGATGACACTGCTTTTAGGGCCCCCTGGTTCTGGAAAATCAACGTTGATGTTGGCTCTTGCTGGGAAACTTCAACTGACCTTGAAGGTCAGTACCCCTTGTAGCTAGAACGTCCAATTACTATTGGAAAATACATAATAATACTAATTATTCTTTGATTTTATGATTCATGCTTTCATTAAAAAGAAAATTTTTCAAATTTTGTGATGGAGTAATTTTATATCTGACTACTAAAAGTAGTTGCGACCTCCTTATACCAAGTTAAATGAAGTGTGGCATACAACCGCATCCTTGCACACACTCCCATAAAGGGAACTATTGTAACGAAAAATAAAAAATAAAACATAAGCTATTTTATTGTGAGATTGTATATGATAAGACTATTCTCTTTTGGTACAACGAAATTGCACTCATTCTTAGCCATTGGGAGTAACATTTCAAATATTGATGTGTTCCATAACAATTGAGAAATTTTATTTTAGGCACCTAACCAACGACACATCCCTAGCTACTTGATTTTACATTTAAACAATCAATAATGATCATGATCTCCTTTTACCAAAAATAAGTGATATTGTATGCATTCCCTTTGTTCTATTTGGTAAGGCATTTATAACGACTTGATATTTAAACGATCAATAATGGTCATGATCTTCTTTTACCAAATATAAGTGATCATATTGTATGCATTACCTTTGTTTTGGTAAGGCATTTATAACTACTTGATTTTACATTTAAACGATCAACAATAATCATGATCTCCTGTTACCAAAAATAAGTGACCATATTGTATACACTCCCTTTGTTCTATTTGGCAAGGCATTTAAAGGACAGACTTTTCTGCCCCTTAAAACAACGTTGATTCAATCATTAAGGGTGTGGTTTCTATAAGGTTGCAACCTTAAACAATCCAATTTAGGTGCATTAACAGATTTTATCATAACATATAATTTTGGAGTAAAACGTTTTTAGGATTATCTAAAAATCTATTTTTATACCTAATTATAAAATTTTAAACTCCAAAAATAGTTAAAATCAAGTAGATCTATAGACATATAAAAAACTTGAGAATGGACGATCTAGATAATATGTTGCAAGATGCATTATTTTTTAGACTCAAAATCTTTTTTTTCTTTCATATTCATATTTATACATTTCGATGTCGAGATGATCAATTAGAAGATTTTTTAACATTAAAAAAAAATTTCCGATAGAATTTTGAGGTGCATCTGTATTTCTACATTTTAAGGTTGCAAGCTTATATAAACTTTTTCTATCATTTAATACTTTAAATAGGTGTTTTTTAAAAAGACAATTTTACCGCTATCTTAGTACTTGAAAGTACTCGAGATATAGAGATACGATATATCAGTGAATGGAATCAAGTATATCCACATAGGCATTTACCGAGGTAGGGGATTTACACGATTTCCAATCGTCCAAAATTTTGATTGGAATAGTGACTTAGATCCCATCCGAGTATAGGTGGATCCAATCTAGAACCGATCTAGTTATTAAAATTTTAGAAAAATTATATACATATACGTTATAGTTTCCGTTATTATGGCTCTACCGAATAGTTTTTTATGTCCTTACCGAATTTAACATATTTTATACCAATTTCGGTTCTTGAATAACCCAAAACCGATCAGAGGGGAACAACTAGTTTGAGCTCTTAAGATTTCTCTTATGAGATTAAAAGATGAGTAGAAATCTTGTGGCATATGCTCTCTACCTCTTTGAAGTCAAATCAAGGGGAGCAATTAGTTTGAGCTCCTAAATTTAGAATAAATCTCAAGGATTATGAACTTACTTTAAAAAAAAAAAAGACTCCCAACTAGTTTGAGCTCCTAACTTTGAGATAAATCTCAGGGATTATGAACTTACCTCAAAAAAAAGACTTATTGGGTGAAGGGGGAGAGAGAGTCTAAAAACAAACTATTTTTATCATGTGATGTAGAGAGAAGTAGAGAGAGGATACGCAGATCCACAAGAGAGAAAAGAAATTCAGTTCTTGAAGATCAAAAAATTTTAAATTTTCGATTATTCAAAAACCAAAATTGGCAAATACTTTAAATTCTAATAGAAACTATTCGGTAGAGCCGTAATAATGGAAACTATAACGGATATGTATGTAATTTTTCATAAAATTTTTTATATTATTTTATATATACACATGTATGTTATATAGGAATTTTTTATGTATTATTTTATATAATATGTAAAACACTTTTTTGGATACTTATATAAAAAAAAGAATTTTTTGGATCCGATCAAGATCTTATGTATACTTTTCAGATCTGGATCCAGATCCAAATCTTTTGGATCCTATTAGATCTTGATCTGAATCCACCTTTCATATATACTTTATAGATCCAAATCCGGTCCCAGTGGATCTGGACTTGATCCGACCCATTCTCAGCCCTACTAAAAGCTGGTGAATCTCATGAGGCTTTCTTTTGGTGCCCAGCCGAAAAAAAGTAGCATAAGAGACTTCACTGGAACTAAGTGATCAGTCAAAAACCTAGGTCCAACAGCGGAAGTCTAGCCCAATGGACCATGTTTTGATTTTTAACTACCTGACGCCATCAGTAGATTCAAAACTGCGTGAAAATCATGTATGAATCATGTACGCAGGAGTGCATATGTGTGCCAATTTGGAGATAAATATTATCCCTAAACTTTGTGGGTTATTTTCATCACCACTCATTATTTTCAATTAATTGGGGTTAGTTATTTTTGAACATAAATGAAACTACTTATTTGTAAAAGTCATTTATGCTTGCGCCTAAAAATTTCGTGAATAGTTATTTTTGAGAGAGCAGATCGCATGGAAAGAATTGCGAATGTGAACAATGAAGGATGGTTGCTTCATGTCCTCCAATTTTAAGTGATTATTGCCTGGGAATATTTATTGTCATTTTATGAAGGCCTACAATGGAGATAAAACTATTTCCAGCGTCATAGTCAGTTCAAGCTAGTGTTTTAAAGCCCGTCGTTCTGGATTGGGGAATTGCCAAATTGGTTCTGTCCCTCATAATTATATTTTATTTTTCTATTTTCAAGCTCATCTAATGTTTTCGCCATTTCGGAGATCTTCTATATGGACTATGATAAATCCCTCTTCATTTTCTAATTTTAATTTTTTTTATCACCAATTAAGAAAATTAAGACCAATCTAGATTGGCAATCTAATAGGGTGGACGGCTGATCCACCAAAACCACCAAACCTTTTTTTTTTCCATTCTCCGGAAAAATAGAAAAATGATCAACGGTTGAAAGATGACCAAAAAAAAAAATCAGTGGAATTTTACGTCGGACCCTTTTCAGTTATATAATACGATTCACTTCTGATAAAATTAATTGATATAGCACATCCTTAATTATTTTAGCAAATCCTTATAAATATATAATTAAGGTTGTAATTTTAAAATATATAATTACGATGCACCTAATAAATCCAATGTAAAATGTTGTTTTGAAGTTGGAAAATCCTCTAATCGAACATCTCATACATCTACATGTATGATTAATTAAAAAAAAAAATTGAAGGATAAAAAATAGTGCATCTTACAACACATTATTTGGACCATTTATTTTTCATGATTTTTATGTGTTTATAGATGTACGTGATTTGAATTATTTTCGGAGCCTTGAAATTTTGTAACTAAAGATAGAAAATATATTTTCATATCACCCTAAGAATGTTTACTCCAAAATTACATCTCAGGATAAGATTGTTTGCATAAGGTTGCATCCTTATGCAAACTACAAGCTAAGTATGACTATGAACACTTTGCTTTTGCCTTCAAATGTTGAACGGAATCTTTTTTGTTGGGTGATCTTCATCTGTACTCCATGTTTTAAGATATCAAGAACCCAAACTTTTGATTATAGCCCTGTAAGCCTTGTTTTAAGATATCAAGAACCCAAACTTTTGATTATAGCCCTGTAAACCAAATGGGTTTTTCGATTCAATCCGAAAACAATTCACCCCTGTGAAGCTAGATATTTTTTGTTCTTTGGGAAGCTTGGTTATATATTAAAGGGAAGATTTGCAAATCACCAATTGATACCAAGAATGAAGACTGGAAGATTTAAGAACCAACCAGTCATTTCCTGGCTCTTTAATTCACGGGATCTTTTGTTCTTCGGGAAGCTTGGTTATATATTAAAGGGAAGATTTGCAAATCACCAATTGAAACAGATACCAAGAATGGCTCTTTAATTCAAGGGATCTTTTGTCCTTTGGGAAGCTTGGTTATATATTAAAGGGAAGATTTGCAAACCACCAATTGAAACAGATACCAAGAATGAACACTGGAAGATTTAAGAATCAACCAGTCATTTCCTGGCTCTTTAATTCAAGGGATCTTTATTTTAGTGATGAACTCCTATTTCCATCAAAATCTGAAGAAATATATGAGGAATTGTTCAAGGATTATCGATAGACCTGCAAGAGTGTACCTGTCACCACATTCTTGCACCATTTTTGTGCAATGAAGTTGTATAAACTCATGGAACACAAAAGAATTTTTGAAAATTACTACAAGGATTAGACAATTTCAAGGGAATTGTAGAACATAGCGTGCCGAAAAAGCTCTCATTTATCGACGTTAGGGAATGTAAAAGAAGATTGTTGTTGCCAATTGCCATGACATTGCTCATGTTGTCTCTTTCTTTTGAGGAAACTGTGGACACTCCACCTAACAGAACGATTTGAATAATTAAATGTCATGAGAAACTTGAGGATGCTTCATCTACAAAATGTTTTGCCAATAATGCAGGTAGTTCTACCTTTGTTTGCCATTTAAGTGCTTCTTACCCTTGGATGATTGATTTTTTGATGGCATGAGTGGAATTTCAGCTCATGTTCCCTCTCTCTGACAATTCTCTGGGTGACTGGGTAAAGAGTAGTGTAGTAAGATTAGGAAATGTTTTTATGTCAAAATTTCAAATTATTGGTTTTAGTTCTCTATTTTCCTAGTTTTGCATATGCATATAACATAACTAGTCACACAAATGGATCTTATAATCACTTCTATCACTTTTTTTCCCCCTGCTGAGTGTGTTTGTTATGACTTTGAAGCTGGTAATAAGAATGGTGATGCATGAGTCGAAGTGGCTGTACTTCTTCAATGAGCAACTGTTTGCCTTGAGTTACCGATAGTAAGATGGAGACTAATAAATAAAGCTATGGTTCTATGGCACTTTTGCTTGAGCCATCTATTTTTGTGTTTTATTATTTTTGGGCCAAATAGATATGATCAAAGGTCTTATAAATATGTTAAAGCTATGTGAGACATGCTAATTATCTAAACAAACTTGTCTTTTCGTAATCCATGACATACTTTAAAGTATTACCCTATTCCCACAGTTATCATCTTATACCTGCTAATGGTACCACTATACATTAGACATATTTGGTCCTTAGTATACTGGTGGGACCTAACTATTGAAAGATGATGCCTTTAGACAATGATTCCTTTATAAATGTCATCATCACCAAAGCCTTTTCCCAACTAATTGAGATTTTTTCCCAACTAATTGGGGTCGACTACATGAATCTTGGTCCACAATTCTGCTCTATTAAGGGCCATACCTTTTGTGAGGTTATAAGTCCCCAAATCTTTTTACATGACTTCCAACCATGTCTTTTTCCCTTCTCCATGAAGCACTCTAGTTGTACATATAAATTTCTTCCTCGAACTTCGCATTATAAATGTTGTCTTTGCATCCATCTGGTGGAGTTCGACGTCGATATGGGATGTTGTAGCTATTAGGGATACCTCATCATAATATATACCTTTTTTTGAGTAAACCCCCCCTTGGCTTTGTAATTTTCTAGCTTCCTTTTCAAATTTAGCGTCTTCTTAAAGATTCATTTGCTTCCTATAGGTTTTCTAGCATGTAATACGGTCACTAGGTCCCACACATGGTTATGTTTGATAGTGTTAAGTTTATCAATCATGGTTTTTTCCCATTTATTCTTTTCTAGGTAGGTTATGGCTTCTTGATACGAACAAGGTTCACGTAGGGATTCTTCCTCAAACCGTTCATTATATTCTGCTAGGAAGTTGAAGAATTCACATATTCTCCTAATATGATTACTTCTCCTAGGACAAGGTGGTTTGGGATCCTAGGTCTCACCCATGTCACTCATGATCTCATAAAAGTTTGGTAGCTTATAAGTGTTATGCCCCTCAAGGAACTTATCCTCAAGGAAGTGGGCATCCCTACTCTCTAGACAACCCCTTCGCATGGATTGTAGAACCAATATTCCTTACCATGATGTGGGTATCCTATGACGTTGCACTTAATGGTTTAAGGTTCTTTGTCTTATTTTGGTGGGGTTTTAGGACATGGGCTGAGCATCTCCACACTCTTAGGTGATCAAAGGACAGAGCACGACCAATGGAAATTCATGAGGAGTTACTGGGACCTCTTTCATGGGAGTTTGTTTAAGAATGTAGCCGGCCGTTAAAACTGCCTCCCCTCAGGAATCCAGGGAGAACTTTGCATGGCCCATCATGTTCTTCACCATTTCCCCAAGGTCCTATTCTGTTTCTTGGCTACTCCATTTTATTGAGGAGTGTATGGCAAAGAATATTGGTGAATGATACCATGCTTAGTGTATAACTCTTTGAATAACTGTGGGGAATACTTGCTGCTCCTATCGTTTCCAAGTACCTTAATTTTCTGGTTTGTTTGGGTTTCTCCGTGAAACAATCTAGGCCTTTTGACTTTTCATGCAGTCGGTGTTACATGTCAAAATTGTGAGTGGTCGTCTATATAAGTGATGAAGTACCTTTTGCGACCCTTGGTGGCGACATTAATAGGTCCACAAATATCACTCTGGCCAACATCTGAAATGCATGCAGATCTCTAAGCTTTTGCAAAAGGTTTTTTAACTAGTTTTTCCCAAACACAAGGCTCACATACCTTGGTTAAGTCTCGATTTTGGTTTTTCAATAATCTTTCTCTCTCCATTATCTTATACTTTGTATGCTCCAATCTCATTTACCATATATATGCATCATCAACATCATTATAACAAAGGCATAAAAAGTAGAACTTGTTATTGCAACTGAAAGGAAACCATCCACAAGGAGACAATTCATGACTGATTCTGTCCCTAAGTTTGCTTCTACCTTGTTGTCAGGAAATATGGTGGTATATCCTGCCGTAGCTCACCATGAGCCGAACGCATGTCTAGAACATAAAGAGTTTGCTTTAGGACCATGCTCTTTTCATCCTCTAACTGAAGGACATAATCACCAATACCTAGTATTTATGTCTTCTGATTCCACTCATGAAGATATGTCGGTCCCCAGGGGTAACAGGCTTAAAGTTTCTAAAACCTTCCTTGGTGTTAAAACTTGTGGGTGGTGGACACCAAGTCAAAACACCATGATCCCTCCTTAAGATCAGCTCACACAAGCATGTTCCTGTCACCCCCAGGATTTGCATACTTCGGAGCCTTGTAATATTTTGTTATGTGCCCATACTTATTGTAATTATAACACCCAGGTATTCATTAAATCCTTCTTTTTCATGGGCCCATAGTCCCCCTTTTGATTTTTATCTTTCTTATTCTTGTTCTTGCCCCTGCCCTTCTTTTTCTTGAATGAGCCAGAACTGGGTTTTAGATTTACCAGATTCATTGAGTCTCTGGAGTCTGGATCATCATGCGACATTCTTATGTCTTCTTGTGTTTTAAGCTCAGTGATGATCTCATCTAGATTTGGCAAGGTCTCCAGTGTAGTGGGGGTAGAGGTGAAAGCTTCCCATGAACTCGATAAAGTGTTGAGCAGGTGGCATACATGCATATTCCTGTCAGGCGTAACTTGTGCTGCCTCAAGCTCTCAAACCAGTGCTCCAAATGTCTACATGCGCTCGGCTCTTGAAGTCTGAGTGCTACTTAAGTGTCTTTCTGGGGGGGGAAGGAGTTCCATAATCCTTCTCGAGATGAATCTCCTGTGTACTCTTTAGGGTTTTGAACTCAAAGGCAGGGGAGTCACCCATAGCATTAGCAAGTGATGCTTATCCAGGGTATATGTGTCCTCCCACTGAGCATAAGCATTCCTAATTGCTTGCCTCTCAGGAGCATTGCGTCGTAGTCCAGGTGGGGGGTTCTCTGTAAGCAGCTAACTAAACCCTTCCCCAATGACGACATAGCCAATCTTTCTTTTCCAACTTGCATAATTCTTCCCATCGAACCTTTCAATATTCAGAAGTTCAACCATAAAGCCTTTGGCTGCCATGTTCTTGACTCAAGAAAATAAAAAACATCCTAAACTTATGGCAGTAAGAGGACTAGCTTTGACATCAATGACAGGTGTAGCTATTTAGAATTCCAAGTATGAGTTCAAAAACTGTTTCTCTTTTTCTTTTTAATAATAATTGGAGTTTCTATTAACAATTGCTGCAATACAATGCAGAAAATGGAAATAAACCTACTAAAATCTGGGATGGTTAATTTTTGCTGCCAAAATTAAACTCTATTCGAACTTACAATATGAATCATGATACAATGAGGAATTCTAATCTAAGTACGGGTCCTTAATACAAATAGGCCTCCTAACACCAGTAGGACTTCTTAACAAATATGAATCAAGAATTGAAAATAAAATTATTAAGCAAAAGAAGCTATGAGACATGAGAGTAAGAAGCTATGAGAAAACAAGGTTGAAGAGAATGAGGGGAGGACCCCTCCTTATATAGGCCTCAGGGCCCTAGGATACTCTAATATCAATTAGGATTCAGTTTGACCAAAAGATTTTCATAGTAATCTGTGAGATGAGAGAAACAAATTAGAGCCATCCATCCCTGAAATCAGCCATTATGATATAGGAACTTAGGAACCTTATTCTCTGAACCTTTGACCCATATCCACTTCTAGTCAATCCAAGATTAGACCAATCAAATCTCATCCACTAATTTGACAAGAATATCTTTCTCTCACAAAGACATCATAGAAATTGAAAGTCAAAAAGTCTTGGTCAAATGTCGAAGTCAATAAAATATATATTTCTCAACCAAATAAATATTTCAGGATCAGTACTCCCACAAAATCTCCTTGCAAAATATTTTCCAAATTTCTAGAACTGGAAGGTTTCTCCATCAGGTTTTCCAACTTACTGGAGATCTATGTGAGGCATCACACTATGTGGGGCATGTGGTCCTTGTGTGCCCCATGTCCCTCTCCATGTAGGACCCCATTTGCGGTGGTTGTTCCCTTAGCCGCCCCCCCCCCCCCCCTTCCCCCACCCCCCCATTGTTGATCCCACTATACCCCTACAAGTTTTAGAAATTAAAAAATAGGCCCTTAAAAGGTTTTAAGCAGTTGAAATAATTCTTATAAAATTTATCAAAAAATCATAGGGACATAAATGAAGTTGAAAATAGTATTTTAGAAGCTCTTAAAAATTCTAAAACACTTAGAAATCCTTTAGAAATGGATTGGTGCCAATGGGTCAAGAAAAGAGGCTATCAGGTCACTCCACCAGTGCCAAGTTCTGTAATCCACAACTATATTCTCAGGAAAACTCAACAATACCCATGTCCCACAGTTATGCGTAGGGGGTCATAATTGGCCCGTCACAGCTGACCAATAAATAGTAGAAACACGGTCCCAGTATGTAGATTACAAGTTCTCCCCTTAAGATCAAGTCACAAGTACATATCACAATAGTACGAGAGCAACTGTCTCTATGCACATGTACATGTGTCCCTCTATAGGATTGCTTCCTAGAGCGCAATTATCATATGTAAAGTTTATTCAGCATTTGGCCCTCGCTCTTATAAGCCTACAACCGCACACAAGAGAGCAAAAAACTCTCTGGCCTATATACGTTGTTTTATAGGCATCTCTCCGATGACCCTCTTGAAACCCTTGACACTGGTGCTTATGCCCAGGGGAAAAGGTTTTGGACAATGCCATGGGCCATAGATTGCCCACCCTAGGTCAGTCAACCAACATACACTCCCATTAAAGTGCACAATCCACTAAAATTTACGTTTTTGCATGCTCTGATGGGCTTTAAAGGCCACAAACTCTAACAAAGACAAGTATAGTTTTTTGACAGAAAATACTGGGAGCCATGTTTCCATCACTGGTAAAGATTCTAATATAACTCTGGTGACAAACTGATAATGAAAATTAAAACTTTCAAGCATATGTTGTTATTGGCTTTTCGGATTTTCATTCTTTCATTTTTATCTTGTGAAGCATATCAGTTAACCTTGATGTGAAAATCAAGTTGTTTGGCTGTTGGCTTTGTTAGACAAGTGGGACTGTTACATACAATGGTGAGTTGCTTGGAAACTTTGTCGCAAGAAGAACTTCTGCATATATAAGCCAAACCGACAATCATATTGGAGAGCTTACAGTTCGGGAGTCACTGGATTTTGCTGCTAGATGCCAAGGTGCTAGTGACATATGGGCAGGTATGCTTACTGTATCCTATTAAATATGTGATTTCTTAGATTCGTTTCTTCATATGCTACAATCAGTGACGGAGAAGTTTATATGGCCAGTGAAGTTTTAGAGGTGGAAAAACATGTGTTAAGTTGACTCTCTCTCTCTCTCTAT